CAGTCAGAGGTGGCTAATAATCTGCCTCCAGTGAGTTAGAGAGACAAGGTGGAGTCTTGTAGCTGTGTCAGTCCCAAGACATTAGAGAGCGATCCTGGGACCGACACAGCTACAACAAAACTGCAGTGAGTTAGCCAGTCAGGTTATGCTACTGCTCGCTCTCTGTAAGAGGCTGTAGGAATGACCCACAGGTACTTATGATAGTTGTGTTGGTAACTCCAAATCTACAGGCATTTGTTATAAATACATCACTACAGAAACATTGCCTCTCTGACCCCCATTTACCCAGCAGCAGAATTAATTACTGTCAAAGTTAAGAATATACTCAATAGAGAAAAAGATTTAGGGCCACAATGTGCCTAGACACTGGGTGCTTGCGGATGAGAGTGCACAAGAAGACTCCACACCTTGCTCTTCCTCACACAGCCTCTGGGCACAATTGCAGTTCCTCCTATCACTCTCATGGGCACTAGCCATCCCAAAGGGGTATGGTCATGATCCTCAGCTCTTCTGTAATGGCCTGAGTATCTGGCTAGACATGTTGCATTTGTTGAACTGGCTTGGTTATCTGGATTCTCTGCTGGAGCTACCCCTGTGGCTTCACACCACCTCCAGGGTGGGACAATGGAAAGCCTTTTATCAGTGTAATTTGGAGTGATCTCTCTATTTTCTCTCTATCCATTTCTCTCACTTTTTCCCTGTTGGTTTCTCCTTTTGCTCTGTCTTGTCTCTTCAATTCCCTTTCATATTGGCCTAACTGTGGATATGTCTACCCTACAAGCGCTACACGTGCAGTACTGTAATGTAGACACTTTTACAGTGACAGAAGAGGTTTTTCCATAACTAGTGAGATGGAGTAGATAGATGGAAGAATTCTTTGTTAATGCTTTGGGTTTTGCCCCAGCAGAGTATACAAAGATTACAAAATGGCATTTCTCTGTTCTGCATGTTGAAGGAATGGGAGCTCTTCTTTTTTCTGGCCTAGGATTGGAAAAGAAACTGGGGTAGAGCTATATCCTGGTTGATGTAGAAGCAAGATACAACTTCTGGGAGGAAACTGCAGCAGCAGCATCAAAAAACTATTCTCTTTGGGCAAAAAGAGTCTGAGGCAGGAGAGAACTGCCAGTTTGCTACACCTCACGCTGAGGTTATAGAATCAAGGGGAAATATTTTCTGTGTAATAGAATGATTCCCAGAAGCTCAAATGAAATTCTGCAGTATCTGAAGAAGATCAGGTTAAAGTTGTAAGAGGAGATCAGATATCTGATCAGTAGCCCGAGCCTCACGTAACACACTGACCACAGGACTTAGATATTAGAGACTAGCTTCAAATGATAATTATGCTTCCTCTGAATGCTGCTACTTGTATTCATTGGGCCTGTCCCAACTCCCATTCTTTTTTTTAAAACTCGCCAAAACTCTTCTGCAGGAATTCTAAGATGGAAACAATAAAATTGCTTGCTCTTTTAGTGAAGTGAAGACATCTATGTAACTATGACTGTATATATTGTAATATAGAACATACTTTATATAAAGTGCCACACTTTGGAATTATGTAAAGTTAAAAAACAATAGAAAGCAATTTCTGTTCTTAATTTTTTTTTAATAAGTTACCCACTTAAGAAATCACATTTAAACTTCCTGTAACTCTAACGGCCTGTTTCTCTTCCTCCTTTAAAAGGTATCAGTAAAATATTCTTTCAAAAAATCATTCTGTTGAAAATATACCTATTTACTGTATGTATTCTGTATCAAGTATTCTTTTACTGGTATTTTACAGTTTTGTTCTGAGTTCTCACTGACTTTCTATGAATTTCCTCTTCATTCCCTGGGGGTAAATCCTTCGATCTCTAGCTGCCTTTGGGATAGCTCCATTCAATACCTAGGAGTTCCTTTTAATAACTGACTCAAGCTCCTACCTAGTAATCTGGGAAAACTAAACACCACGCCTGGACACCTCTAAGAGGCAATACTTCCTGGTGCACAAGCACTGAGTCTGTATTTAAAAAAAGAAAACTTTTATTAAAAAGGAAAAGGAACCCTTATTTGCAAAAGCACCACACCTCTTTCTTTCACTGGGATGTGGCATCTCTAACCCCCACTTAGCAAGTGAAATTCTGTTTAGGTGACCCCTCAACTGGGACATGCTAAGTACAGTCAGGGGCGGCAGGTTTGTATAATTTTTGGTGGTGCCCAGAATGGGTCCAAGTCCCACCTTCCTCCCCTCCCCCCACCTGCCTAAAGCTCTGGGAGGGAGTTTGGGTGCACTGCCGGTGGTGATGGCGGGGACCTGAGGCCCTTTTAAATTGCCAGGGGCAGCAAGCGGGGCTGGGGGAGAGGCCCGGCTCCGAACTTCGGTGGAGCCGGACCCCCTCATATTGGGGGAGCAGGGGCACCATGGGCCCATACAACTCGCCGCCCCCTCAGTATAGTTCTGTTGCTCTTTACTCATAAAATAAGAATAACAACATTTCATTACCCCTGCATTCAAATTTAATTTTTTTATTAAAGCTAATGTTAAAATTATATAATATGCAGGTTAAGGAAAGAATGTCTGTACATCTGGGTACAGTGCTTAAATTATCCCAAAGTACAAAGGTTGGTTTAAAAGTAATAAAATATATATAGTACATACTCAGCAATAAACCAAAACAGTTCCATCTGCTGAACATCTAGGCAGAGTAGGTGTGTCTATACAAATATGATCTGCTCATGAAGTCTTTTTCCTCCAGTTCATCAGGGGAGAGCTCATTCAGACCCTGCTTATATCTACATTGCTTTATCAAAACTGGGTCACATTCACTCCTGTAGAGACATGGGTGAAAATTGCACCTCTGTGCACCCAGAACCTGTGCCAGAGGAGAAATCGACCAATAGGGAAGGGCAAGTTGTGATACTGCCACTGGAGGCTGCCTAGAAGACATGCCAAATCAGGTAATGAATGTTCTTGCCTCCTTCCCAGATAGTTCATCCCTTTTTGTGGGCTGCATCAGCTGGCTCTACGTCCCCTAGCGGGGTGGGGATGGCTAGTGGCCAGTGCTGCTGCACCCCTAGTCCTTGGGGTCTTTCCACCCCACAGGCTGGATTTCTTCAGCAGAAGCTGGTACAACCCAATGAGTGAATCTGGATTGTTTGAGTTAGTAGATGCTCTTCAATATTGTTGATGATCATAATAATAATAAATTCTGCTTCTATTCTCCAATTCTTGACTGTGTTTGGGTGGTAGGTTGGAAGATATGTCCCTGTGTTATCAGCACCTCCTAGCACAAGTATCGTTAATTATGTTATTGTATGCAGTGTTTGTTTGTCCCTGGATATTAGACACTCATCCACTTTGTCTCAGTAATTACATTCCAAGGCAGCATCACACAGTGGATGCCTCATTGGCCTGGTTTATGAGTGCACTAGGGTGACCAGATAGCAACTGTGAAAAATCGGGACGGGGGTGGGGGGTAATAGGAGCCTATATAAGAAAAAGACCCCAAAATCGGGACACCTGGTCACCCTAGAGTGCACTATTGGGAAATGAGAGGTTGGGTGCTTTTGTGGATTTTTTTTAAACAGCTAAATTAGGATGGGATTGTCTTCAGGGGACTACTCTCAAGCTTAGAGTTAAGCATACACGTAAGTGTTTGCAGAACCAGGGCTTTAGTTTAGACAGTGATTTACAGGGCTGAGAATCTGTGTTTAGCCGTATTGCATTCATGTGCATTAGAATGCCCCAGCTCACCTCCGCTTCACCTCTGCCTCCTCCCCTGAGCGTGCCTTCCCCGCTTCTCGCCCTACCTCTGTTAACAGCTGCTTCGCGGCGGCAAGTGCTGGGAGGGAGGAGGGGGAACGTGGTGCACTCGGGGAAGAGGCGGGGCCCGGGCCAGGATTTGGGGAAGGGGTCCAATAGGGGCAGGGAAGGGGCGGAGTTGGGGCGGGGACTTTGGAGAAGGGGTTGGAATGGGGGCGGGAGAGGGTGGGGCAGGGGTGGAGTCGGGGTAGGGGGTCAAGCACCCACTGGTGCCGGGAAAAGTTGGGGCCTATGTTGGTATGTGCCATATTCACTTATGGTGCTATGTAAGTAATGAATAAAAATGAATAAAAGAGTAATGGTTTCTTATTTTCTTCTGTATTTAGGGCTGGTGAAGATCTTAATCTTTTCCTGGTAGTAGACTATTTAGTATCTATCAATACACAATCTTTTGTTTTATCTTACTTTTGTGACCGGTTTACATATTGCTAAAGGGAACAAGTACCCTAACTTTGATTCACCTTCAGTTTCTTTTTTCCTTTCAACAAATACATAAAAAGGAGTCAGACAGTTTCTGTTTTGCCCTAAGCAACAAATGACTCTGGTATCCATCCCAACAGCTTCAGGAGCTAAGAGGGCAGGAATGCTCTCTGAAAGGCTGTGGCACATTTTTCTGTGGCTGCAGCTGTAACACAGCCCTTCCACAGGGGACAAGGAACTGCACAGTGATGAATCCATGGGTTGAGTAATAAACAGATACGTTTATAAGTGAGAATAATATGCTAGGATAGCACTGTGCAGGATACAGAAGACACATGGTCCCTGTGTAGAAGAGACCACAGTCTACTGGCGTTAAACAATACAAATCAGTCACAAAATAAATTAAATAAAAAGAAATGGATTTCTTGTTAAAATAAGAATATAATTCTTCCAGTTATTATGAAACAGAAGAGCATTTTAAGGAGGAATTTGAAAAAGGAGTACTAGTAGGATGGTAAGTGCGCCAAGAAAGAGGGAGTTGCAGGTATGGGCAATATAAAATATGGCACTAAAACAAGAGTGGAAAAGTGAATAGGTGGGGGTTGAACATATGGGAGGAGAGAAGCAGGGATGCCACATTAGCTTCATCAAACTCAACCTTCCCTCCCCCAAAACCCACTTTTTTTTTTAAATCTAAATTGGGTTAAAATTAAGAAACTTTCTTTATTCTATAAAACAATAGAGCATCTTCATCTGGGCTTTGAGCAAATAGCGTATCCAGTTGACGTTTCCCTTCACAGTAAACTCCTTTCCCCATCACCTCCCCAAACAAAAACAAAAAAACCCTAAAAACCCCAGCCTTCTTTCCATCCCAACCAATATCAATTTTAACTAGTTTTTAAAAACCCAGCCAGTTATAATAGTTACCCTTTTTGACCAAAGCAGTTAGTCAAAGTTTGGGGCCCTAGGGTTGTTCCAGTTAAGAGTAGAAATTGATGGAATCTGGTATTTTCTCTGATGAAATCTTGCTTATTTACAAGAAATGTACAAAGTCCTGCTTCTCCAAATGCAGGAGGAACCAAAGACAAAAGGACTAGTTTCTTAGCTTACAGACTCAAGCTTGTTTTCAGCCAGCACCCCGCAAGGCAGAAACTGTATCTAGGGTTCTCTCATGGTCACACCATGCTTACAGGCTGCTGGCTGGATTTCTTCAGGCTGTCTTCTGCTTTCTTTTTGGTTCTGTATTCTGCCTCTTTCCCCCACCATTCCAAAAACACAAACAAACAAAAACTCGGTAAAAACCCCTCTGTCTATACAGTCCAAAACACCTAGGTGGGTTCACATAACCCTTTTGTTGGAGAATTGTAATTAACTCATCTTTACTGTAAAGGGTATGTTCATACCCATTGTCTCTCTGAGGTTTTAACTCCTAACAAGGTTTCATTTAGCTCATAACCTTTTTTTAAAAAGATTCAAATCACTTGCACCATTGTTCTAACACTCAGTGGTAAGGCCATCAGATCACTGTAGCATTCCGACCATGTCCTCCCACCCTCAAGGAAGGACCCCCAACATGCACGCCATGCCAAGGTGGTCAAGAGGGGATAGCATATAGAGTGAACTACAGTGGGGGAAATTCTTAGCTATCTGTGACAGCAATTTTGTGCTGCTCATTGGCACAGAAAGGCTATAAAAGGGGCATAGCAGGGATAAGGATCTGGCCCAGTTTTCCTAAAGACTGATTTTTCTAAACATTTTCCTGTGATTTATAGTAAGCAATTGGTTTGTAGTTTAATTTAGTACTGTGCACTTAAACACACCAATATTATATAGTCACTGGGGATTTCTGAGCAGTTGAGAGAACACGTCTGCATAATGCTTTTCACTTGCTTTGAGAGCAGCCCAATTTGTGGATTGCCTGTATAAGACGACGTTTGGAGCACAGTCACATGATCAACCTGCATTTTCTTGCAGTCTTCATGATCTGTTGCACCATTTTGTTACAAGCTGTTTAGTCTGTTGATGCATAGATCTGAGCATCTTCCTTTAAGAGTAATAAATCAACATTACACAACGTTTAAGATTTCATTAAGAGATTATTTCAGAATTAAGACATTGCTGAGTGAGGGTCATATAAATCAATCTTTCAGTTATTCCATTTTCAGTTGTACTACAGTGAGCAGTACCCTGCTCGTTGTTAGAAAGCTTATGGTGTTAGAATACTGATAAGATGATATTGCATTCTGAATACATTTTCGGCTGTTGGATGAAATCTGCAATGCGTTATGACAGGTGCATTTGGATTTATATTAATATGCCTTGAAATTGCCAAATTATAACATTCTAGAGATGAGGTTGGTTTTGAAAAAATAGAATTATTCCAGGGAGAATATTTAATAAAAGAAAATTCTTGCAGTGGGAAAAGCAGAGCATAGTACTAATTTTATTTGACTAATCAATGTAATAATGAGTCCTGGTGCAGTCTTAACTCTGAAGCCATAATTGTTACCTCTATAATAATGGCTAATACTTGAGAGAGCTCATATTCATATTTAAAATGTTTCACAAACATTAATCAAGATGCCTATACAATAGGTAGCCATTTCAACAGATTGTGTCTCATTTTCACAAAGAGGTTAAGTGACTTTTTCAAGGCCACAACTAATGTTAGAGACAGAGACAGATTAGAACACCTAAATTCTTGGCTCCCATTCCTGTGCTCAGGCTACTAGACTACAGTACTTCTCTCGTTCTCTCTCTCTCAGTAATGATGGAATAAAACTAAATGGAACTCACATGCAATCCAATCAAAGGGCCTGTATCAGCAATGTAGGTTTCCATATGTATAGTTATGCAATGATTTCCAAATTAAATGTTCTCAAAAAGAAACAAGAATATGTCTTTCTAACTACAAGCTCAACCAACAGTCAAGTTGGGC